ATATTATTTATCAATTTACACATGCACAAATATATATATATCCCTAAAATACTTTTATACTTTTATAAAATGATATAAATTAATAATTAATAATCAATTCATATTATACCTCCACCCAAATGATATAAATATAATAAATAACTTAATATAATAATAATAATAATAATACATATACTTTTTGTATTTATTACAACTTTTATATATATATATTATTTATAATTCACATACAGTATCCATATCTGCATTCATCTGGTGTGTTTATGTGTCAGTCTGGGAGCTTCATGTCATGCTGGCTGTTTCAGGACGTTTATAGTGTTGTGTAAGCGCCTGACATTCCTCGTCAGCACTGATTGTGTCCGCAGCGTCTCTCAAACACAGCCGGCAGTCCGCAGCGCCTCTGAGAACTGACTGCTCTCATTAGCGTCAGATGCCCAGCCCAGCCACAACCTCAGGACAGGGCGGGCCAACTCTGACAGACGGCCCACACACTTCTGTGTGATGACTCTGCACATTACACACCCTCACCAGACTCACATTATCACATTAACAATGGGATTCTGGGGGGAAAAACAAAAACAAAATCCTACAAAAGTAGCGCTGGGAACTTGGCAGAGGCTTGCAGTCTCTAGCGGTTTAAACAAGGACACAGCATACATAAGCGTACCGCACTACTTTCCCTCGAGAGAAGGTAAAACAAGGTGAGACTGACATCACCTGTCATGTGTGCCAAATACGCTGTCACACTGGGGCAGGAAGATGGAATGTGAAGCGTTAAAACATGAATCAGCAAACATTTTGCTCTTACAGCAGCCTGGCAGAAAGTCCACATCAGGATACTGCTGCAAGACTGTGATTCAGCAAAGTCAGAAATACCCTCAACGCAGCAACATGTTATAAAACACGACAATAAGGCTGATGATATCCGTCACGTATATTCACTCAGGTCAACTCAGCAAACATGTATACAGGGGAATCTGAGGCACCTTTTATGTAGAATCTGAATAGACTAACAAATCTAGGGGGTTTAAAACGTCTATAGAGTAATTTGATTCACTGAATAATGTAAGTTGTTCTGGAGATATGTTTACAATATATATATATATATATATTTACAATATATATTTAACAATTTAAATATTTTAATATGGGATTTTAAAACTTTGAAATTTGATTAATTTGCACAAATCTGTCTTTTTAAATGGTCCATTTTCACGAATCAGTTCAAAACACTGATTCAACTGATTCATTACATCACTCAAAAATGTCTGAAGTGCTGACATGACATGTTTTTGTAATAATAAAAATTTTTGATTGTTATATTGGTCCATATAAAATATAAAGTGGTCCATACAAATGTAATAAACTAATTTTAAATAATGTTAATTGTTGATATTAATTGCCCATGTTAATATTATTTAACCTTAAAAATTAGTAAAACAGATTTTGAGAGATTTTTGAACTTCTATGTTAAAAAAAGATTAAAAGCTAATAATGAATTAAATCATACAACTGTAAAATTAAAATAAATAAATAATTTTAAAATAAAAACACTAATACAACACTTAAAAAGATGAAATATTTTATTTGAACTTAAAATCTTTAAAACCTTAAAGTAAATATTTTAGGTCACAAGCAGTGAACTAACAAAAGTTTAGGGATTTCTATTCTATTCTATTCTATTAAATAGGGGTCGACCGATATGTGTTTTTCAGGGCCGATGCCGATACGATTATTACAGATCAAGTAAACCGATAACCAATGTTTTGAACTGATATATATGTCTGGTGTAAAAATGAAAATGAATGGCAAAATTAAGAATAACAAGGAGCCTGACAAAAACTTTCTCTAAATGCTTTTAAATTATTTTATTGGCAAATTGTTTTTTTAGAAGGACCAATACCGATAACCATAAAAATGCTTAATATCGGTGCCGATAATCGGCCAGGCAGATAATCTATTATGTATTATATATCTATTATATATTCTAAATGTGTTAGAATAGATTCAGAATGTTCTCATGATTTCTGCAGAACGTCTGCAGATTTCAGAGACGTACAAGCGCTCATTATGACAAAAATCCATTTTTATCTCTGACACTTTCTGTATTTTCCTCCTACAGATGAAAGTGGCTTCTGAATCATCGCTGCTTTAGAGCAAGAACAGGAAGTGCACACTTACCTTTGGATTCTCAACAGGCTCTGCGTTCTGCGCCTCCATCCTCCTTTGCTCCTGCATTATGATTTCTTTCAAGTATTCGTTCACCTTGAAAAGGAGTAAAACAGAGAGGAGTTTTTACATACTTAAAAAAAATCACTACCATTTTTTTCACTACAAGCAAGTGTATTATTATATTATATTATATTATATTATATTATATTATATTATATTATATTATATTATTATGGGTTCATCTCAGTGTAATGTAAACGCAATCCAGCCATCGTGTCTGCATTCGCAGGTCGACATCACGCAAAACGCTGCCCCCTCTCTCGCGAACTGTCGGAAGAACAGAGCGCTAGTGAGACTCGTACATTTATTTTGATTTGTAAAATGTCCCGCGACTGAAAATAGTTTTCAAAAGAAAACCCACCACTTCAGGTCGACTTTGCAGCGCAGACTTATTTAAATATTGCGCGGGAAATACAGATCCGATGGGTTATCCAGATCGAGAAGTCAGCTGATGTTGCCAAGTGTAAACGCGCCGTGTCCTGATTGACTGATGATCTGATCTGCTTGATCAGATCACGGTGATCGCATGTTAATGCCAAGTGTAAACGCGCCGTGTCCTGATTGACTGATGATCTGATCTGCTTGATCAGATCACGGTGATCGCATGTTAATGCCAAGTGTAAACGCAGCCACAACAGAGCACATGATGAAGACAACAAAACAGTTCAAAGGGGTGTGACAACAGAATACTTTAAGTAAATATTTTAGGTTGAAAGTGTTTAGCTGACAAAAAATGTAATATATTATATTATATTATATTATTTTTTCCAAACAGGGGATTGTAAGGGAACTGCAGGGAGTTTATAAGCTAATAAAGAAATGAATCATTTAAAAATAATAAATATTTGAGGTTGAAAGTGTTTAGCTGACAAAAAATTTAATATATTATATTATATTATATTATTTTTTTCCAAACAGGGGATTGTAAGGGAACTGCAGGGAGTTTATAAGCTAATAAAGAAATTAATCATTTAAAAATAATAAATATTTGAGGTTGAAAGTGTTTAGCTGACAAAAAAAGTAAAAAAATATTTTATATTATAAATATATAAATAAAAACACTAAAAAAGATTAAATATTTTATTTATTTACCTGCATGTCACATGACTATTAACTTCAGAGAACTGTAAACATGCAAATGTGTTGTTAAATTATTGAAATATTAACTTAAAATCTGTTAAAATCTATCAAGTAGCTATGACAAAAATGTGTATATTATATTATATTACATATTGCTTATTCACAAAATTAAATGGATTTTTAAGAGATATATTTGCTGATTTGTTGTATATATTCATAGCTTGTATTGTTTATGCCGACAGTAATTCATTACATGATTATCAAATTTTAAGAATAAATCTGAAACTCAAGATTATGGTAAAACGCATGATGTAAACACACCAAAAACCCTCATGCAAACTCTTTCAAATGTCCATTTAATATCGTTACGGCAGGAAGTCCCAAAAAAAAAAAACCCTGAAATTTCTCTGCAGTCCCTCATGGCCTGTTTAGCATGTGTGTGTACATGTGCGGTACTGTCTTGATTTAGGCTGCCTGTACAGCTGGCCTGCAAGGGAATGTAAACACAAGTCCTGGGACGTCCCTTCACTGACACTCAAAGAAGCCCTCAGAGATCATAACATATTAAAGCCATATTATAGTGCAACAAACCTCTGTCTATGTTAAAAGATAGTAAAAGATGATGATCGGGCACAGTAAATGTATTTGCACTGCATTATGGGTAAGTTTAAGATTCATAAAAGCATAAAAATACCTTATTCATCCAGCTAGTGACCGCATCCTCTGTGTCATAGGGCACGTCTCCGTCTGGGTAATCGGTGGAGTATTGCTGCATGCAGGCCATCACCTTCTCCACACTCACCGTCTCTACTGTGTACGCCATCATCAGCGTGTCAATAATGGCCAGGTGGGTGCTCTGTGAACGACAAAACAATAAAAACACCTTTAAATTGCTGACAGGCCCATTCTCCTGAATATACATACTGACAATTGTCACTCTCTCAGTTGACAGTTACTCATTCCTCTCTAGAAGTTGTTGCCTTGGAAACGGCAGCATCGCTCCCCCGTTGCTCGACCCAATTAGAAATAATCTTTCCTGAGATAGGACAGTCGCTCCTTCTGGGGGCCCGTCCTCTCGGCCTCAACATTATAAATATACTGTATCACATGTGATGAGCAAAACTGACAGGTGGGACCTCTCCTAAAAACCACTCATTAAAAAAATAAAAAAAAAGTAGAATTTTGGCTACAGTTATTTGGCTACTATTACTCGTAACGATTCCTTAAGGGAATACAGTAGTTCACCAAAAAAAGAAAATTTGCTGAAAATGCTGAACCCTCAGGTCATCCAAGAGTTTGTTTTTTCATCGGAACAGATTTGGAGAAATGTAGCATTTCATCATCTGCTCACCAGTGGATCCTCTGCAGTGAATGGGTGCCGTCAGAATGAGAGTCCAAACAGCTGATAAAAACATGACACTAATCCACAAGCAATCCACATGGCTCCATTCAATTAACTATAATGTTTTGTGAAGTGAAAAGCTGCATGTTTGTAAGAAAACAAATCCATCATTAAGATGTTTTAACTTTAAAACTTCGCTTCTGGCCATAATACATAATAACGCTTCCTCCAGTGACAAAGTCCATCCTCAGTTGTCCTCTTACATCAAAATCCACTGATGTATTTGTTTAGAACTGATTTTGGACCATTTTCTCTTATAAACAGTGTTTGATGAACGGTGTGTGCATAAATCTTTCCTGATTCAGATGACATGATGTTTTCACTGGAGAAAGCAACATTATGGATGGTTGAAAACATCTTAATGTTGAATTTGTTACTACAAACATGCAGCTTTTCACTTCACAAGATGTTAATTGATGGACTGGAGTCACCTGGATTACTTTTGGATTATTGTGATGCTTTTATCAGCTCTTTGGACTCTCATTCTGATGGCACCCATTCACTGCAGAGGATCCATTGGTGAGCAAGTGATGTAATGCTAAATTTATCCAAATCTGTTCTGAAGAAGAAACTTCAACTTCATTATATATATTAAAGATCAAGACTACATTAACACCATATTTAATAAAAATGTATTAATGAAATGCTGAAATATTTCTAACAAAATACATAATTTGTATCTTTGTTATATGAGTTGTTATATGAACAACCTGTCAGTAACTACGGTACTATAATAATTTAAGTCTCATAATTATAAGCTGTATGTCTTTGATTCACTAAAAAATAAAGTTCATAAAGATGCGGTTACATTAGTGACATTTTGGTGAAATTTCGCAACAAAAAAATATCCATTGTGAATAGGGATGCACGATATTATCAGAACGATATCGGAATCGGCTGATAATGGCTTACAATGTAAACATCGGCATCAGCCCGATATGAAAAATTATGCCGATATGCCTTGCCAATAAGACGAATAGCTCACATGTGCTCAGGGTGTGCTAGCGATAAGATCACTTCAGTAGTGTCTCATTCTTGAAGCAAACTTTTGCCTGAATGGTGATTAGATTCACTGTTTTGGATCGCCGCTTTTAATTGTTTAATTCTAACAAGTACGTTTTTGTTAAAAACTAACCAAAATAAAAAAAAAATAAGTTGTTTATAATCACTGCACAGGAGAGACTTGGTGCTGTTTCCAAACGTATCGGCATCAGCTATCGGCCAAAATGAGTTGAAAAATACCGGCATATCGGATATCGGCAAAAATCCAATATTGTGCTTCCCTGATTGTTAATAGTGTAGTGATGTATGAAGCACAGCTCACACACTTTCAGCCCAAGCAACTTGAATCCATTGCGAAATCTGCGCAAGGAAATCTTTCGCCCACATGCAAAATTCCAGATCACAAATTCCTATTGAAATGATTGAAATCATCGTCTAATACTGCTTTCAACGTCGTCCTCAGTTTATCCATTTAAAATAAACAAGCAAAACAGCGGATCATCTCCATCGTGGTCACCATAACCTACAAGCAACTACAAAGTACAAGCAACTAAAAAAATAACCCCCACCCCCCCCCATCTCGACCACAAATTAAACAGTGGCTGTCTTATTAAAATCCTTGTGTGCACAGAGAGAGATAAAACACTTAAGACGGATATTGATTTTGTTTCGTTGAAAGCAAACCCCAGTAAAAGAAACTGGTGGGTAAACAATGAATCAGAAAACATCGCAAGAAGAGTCGAGCGCATCTAATAAACGGTGTTCATGTGACTGCCCTTCCAGCTGACTGACGTTAAATGTCTATAAAGCAATTAACCGTCATTGCTAATTTATCACTGGTCTTGTTATGCTTGCTAAGTGTTACTTAAAGCCTTATTCAAGATTATATTTTTATACACACACACACACACACACACACTTTTTTCTACATTTACATCACATTTATCATTATGAATTAACATTGTTTATGCTGAATGCTGAAGGCTGAATCTTCTTTTACCTTTTTTTACGCACCTGACAATCATTGTTTTTTCTTTCTTTTTTGAGCGCACACAATTTCTGTTTGATGAATGCTAAATCTTACACATTCCTTAGCACTGCACTTTTTGCTGCCTGGGAAACTTTCTGACCTTTCACTGTAAATCTGAGTGTCTGTTAAGACAAACAGGTAGTTCAGAATGTCACAGCGCAGCTTTCCTGTCACATCTGACGTGTATGAACGCAGTTCAATGGAAAGATTCGCTCTGACGGATCCAAGTGACACTGAGTTATGCTGTTCAGTCAGCAATTTCTCTCACTTGAGTGGGTCTGATTTCCTCGCCACATGAGCTGTGACACTCCCACGTCTCACCATGGAGAAAAAAACCAGAAGACCGTCTGTTGCATAAGAGCTGAGCTTCTCGTTTAAGCTGATTACATTTATAAATCGTTTTATTGATTAAACATTTTGCAGTCTGAAATGTCAGAGTGTGTGCAATGATATGATCTTCTGGCTTGGGTTGAAGATCTGTTCATAATATCTTCAAAAGAGAGATCAACCACTTATTTGTTTATTAATTTTTGGGCTCAGCAACGTGGGGAATGAGATCAACTTATGTTGTCTGTTGGATTCGAACCTGTGTTTTTCATGTAATCACCAATAGCTATGTTTCCGTCCACCTATTTTTATGTGCATTTTGGAATATCGCATAAAAAAAACGCTGGATGGAAACGATAAGATGTGCATAAATTCTAAAAATGTGCATAAAAAAACTTATGCACACAACGGAGTAGGATAAACTTTTTATCCGTTAAGAAAAAATGCGCATAAAAAATGTCATGTAATTTTGCATGATGGGACGGGATAACTTGACTAACCCACAGACCGATGTCATTGCACAGCATCTGAAAAGTTGTTTTGGTCATTCTGAAATGCTCGAGCAAAGTCTGTCATCAAAGTAGGCCTATTTCTGTATAATTGTCTAAAACAAAACAAAAAACAATGAAAGCAATGACATCGTCTGCTCGCTCTGAGGCGCAAGTAATTTATCATATATATATTAAGTGGCTCAGCAACGTGGGGAATGAGATCAACTTATGTTGTCTGTTGGATTCGAACCTGTGTTTTTCATGTAATCACCAATAGCTATGTTTCCGTCCACCTATTTTTATGTGCATTTTGGAATATCGCATAAAAAAAACGCTGGATGGAAACGATAAGATGTGCATAAATTCTAAAAATGTGCATAAAAAAACTTATGCACACAATGGAGTAGGATAAACTTTTTATCCGTTAAGAAAAAATGCGCATAAAAAATGTCATGTAATTTTGCATGATGGGACGGGATAACTTGACTAACCCACAGACCGATGTCATTGCACAGCATCTGAAAAGTTGTTTTGGTCATTCTGAAATGCTCGAGCAAAGTCTGTCATCAAAGTAGGCCTATTTCTGTATAATTGTCTAAAACAAAACAAAAAACAATGAAAGCAATGACATCGTCTGCTCGCTCTGAGGCGCAAGTAATTTATCATATATGAAAATTATATTAAGTGGCTTCTCCTACTTTTCTTAGTGATATTTAGTGCCAGTTTATCAGGAAGTGACGATTTCGTTCTCTTTGATACGTTGGATGGAAATGGTGCTTTATTCGCAAATCTTTTATGCGATATTTCAGTTTTGCACATAAGTTAAATTCAAATCTTTGGATGGAAACATAGCTAATGTCTGGTGTGAAATTTACCCATTAAATGTTTCTTCTCTGATTTCCCCAAAGAAAGTATTTTCTAATCATGCATTTATATTCACATTCCCATTGAAGATCAAAAACAAGCACAGCCCCACAAATACAAAATTAGGCCATTATATAATGCAAAACCCATGTGTTTTGCAACTTTTTCATATTTATCCGTCCTTGCAGAAAGGAGAAACTGTGCTGTAATGAATTTCTCATAAAGCACTGCCCTGTGTTTCCACTCCCAGCAGTCATTGCTCTTCACAGCATCACAAACGCACACAGAAATACTCACATCTGGGTAGGGCTGTACGATTAACAGAAATAAAACCAAAATCATTGCTTAGTGTGATTATCAAAATGCAAAGATTGGCATTTAACTGAATAAATACTGCATATGTGCTGCATGTTTGGCCAAAAACTGTTGTAAATATATCACTATGACTATTTAATTTACTTTTTTAAATGGTATAATTATATTTATACATAATCACAACAATTTTGGCCAAACTGTGCAACCCTATAACAAACATATAGCTGGAGCTTGAAAGAAAGAAAGAAAGAAAGATCATTAATTTTTATTAAAAAACCCTGTGCATCCCTACAAACAAACACAGCAAACCCAGTGCTTGAAAAGAAAGAAAGAAAGAAAGAAAGAAAGAAACAAACAAACAAACAAACAAAGAAAGAAACATTTCTTATATAAAAAATACCTGTGCATCCCTACAAACAAACAGC